TGAACTTATTTCTGCTTACTTAAACCTAATTCAGCAAATATATATTCTTCCTGCTTTCTTCTTCTAATTTAGGCTTATTCTTCCATTTCAACTACATTTCAGCACGTTTTTAGCTAATTTAAGCTGTTTTTCAGCAAGTTCTTCAGAAATAAGCATTCACACTGCATTTTCACAGGAAATGCAATTTCTCTAGTTAATGTTATCATTACCTTAAATACATTTTCCACGTTTTACTTTGCTGGTACTTTTGGTCTTCATTGATGTAAACATATTTTTATTTTTTTATTACCTATATGTAAATATTTTGAACAGCTAGTTGAAATCAGCTGAAGTCTTCTGCTCAGTGCTGTGTTGTTGACAGCAAAGTAAGAATTGTGTTGCTCAGGGAAACATGTTTCCAGTTGTGCACATGACAATAAACACTTTGAGTCGTTGCACTTCTTGAGGTTTATGTCTCCGGACATAATAAAAACTATTGTTCTGTTGCATCGTGACCCAGTTTGGTCCAAGCTTCAGCTGTCGGACAAACGGCCTCACATTTGACTCCAGAGTCCTTCGCTCTAAAAAGGAGTTCCTGGTCAGCCCAGTGACAACAAGCCCCGGTCCTGAAGCTGCAAAACAAGCCCAAACCATCATCACTCTACCATCATGCTTGATGATGGATCAGAGGTTTTGTTATGACATGCTGTGTTTGGTTAACCAATTATCACGCTGTGCATTATGGGTAAACATCTCTACTTTGGTCTGAGCTGTCCAAAGAACATCGTTTCAGGGGTCAACTGTGCATCTTTCTGATATATAAAAACTGTGAATGAGATAAAACTAAAGTTTTACCACGAAACCTGCAGCAACAACTCTGCTCTTTGTCTGATAAGGCATTTATGGGTGTGCACAGTCGTTCAAAGGTAGCATTTTTCTGTAAAGTGGCATCATAAATCAAACCCAAACGCAGTTGTCAAAATATTAAACAGGCCAAATTGAGGTGGGAGGTCTGCACACATGGCAGGACATGCACACCGCCGCTCATTCATTCAGCTACATGAAGCCTTCTGTGAACTTTGTGTTGGAACTGTCGCAGACGGCGCACGGCAGAGAGGAGACGTGAGCGATGCACGAGAGTTAAGTGCAGCGTAATACGACTCGCCAAGAGGCCCAAACAACACCCCAGGGAGTGGAAAATATCTGGATATCTGGAGTCATTAAGGCGTGGGTTTGGCAATGACATCAGAGTGTGTTTTTGTGCGAGTAAACACACAAACGGAGGTTGTTTTCTGGCAGCGACC